AAAGATCATGTTACAACTGATAAAGGAGAGAGACAGGTAAGAATATGTATCAAATTTGTTTTGAACTATATTTAAAGTTCGTGTACATGTGTTTGTGTATAATAATGATACTATAATGAAAACCAAAAACAAAAAAAAATCAAAAACAGTACAGAACAAAACATGTAGAGAAAGAATATTTGCATGTTTTACAAGAAAATATATAGATCATGAAATTTGAATTAAACTCATAATAAAAGATATTTAAGCTCATGATATGCGAAGGGACTTATATAGTAACATTTTATGACTCGGGTTATATAACAAATGTAGTACAAACGTGTTTTGGTAAAGAATTTGCAAGTTTAAAATGTCATATTTTGTTCTAATCGAATTTACGAAAGCTGACTTTTGTATAACATTGCGATACGATTAAACGAAAAAAAACTAAGCATGCGTAATTATATGTAATTATATGCGGGTGTTAAGTATCCTCTGAAGAAATTTATAAAACACTTTATTTTAAATTTTGCATTTATATATATATATTGTTTGTATTCGTATCAATGACAATTATTCAAATTGATATTTCAACAACTTTTAAAAACGTTAATTACCGCAATGTCAATTACGAGTACACATTCATTATACACAGTGTAAAAATCAATGTCACATTTTTAAGTTATAACAAATCTTTATTATGTTAAGTTGTATAACATTTTTAAGTTGTAAAACACATCTTTATTATGTAGAAAGGGAGATGACTCGATCAAAAGCATAATGTAGAATTAAATATAGTTGTTTTACTTTAATCCTGAAATCATTGATAAGATAGTCAAATAATCCAAATGGCCGAGACAGCATACTGAAGCAAAAGTTAAATAGGTGAACAATCAATTTTAAATTATTTTTGAATTGGTGAATAGGAAAACTGCAATAAATTTTTGAAAATAATTATTATTTCGTATAAGCGTTATCTCACCTTTAAGTTTCCTTTCCTTCTATTTTTATCAGATAAATCATGGAAATATCAGGGAAATTAGCAGCTCCCTCAAAGAAACATTTTAATCCTTACTGCCTTCCATGCAGCATAGATGGATTACAAGAGCTAGCTTACGTCTATTGCCAGGAGTGTGAGGTACATCTGTGTAAGAGATGTTCCTATCATCACAGACAGCAAATATCATCAAAAAACGTGTTCAGCATAAAACGGAAATAATGCAAAAGCAACCGAAGACAGTGATCAAACAATTCATTTCTGCATTAAACATACTAAGAAACAACAGGAGTTCTTTTGTAGTAAACATCGTTCTATGGCATGTTCTGCTTGTTTAATCAAAGATCGAAAACATTGCAATGTTAAGTATATTCCCGATATTCCAAGAAACCTGTCTGATGGGCTGGATAATTTAATAGACCGAATGGAGACACTTGTCAGGAAGTTTAAATGTAAGGTAAAGTTACAAAAAGTGCCACAACAAACAAAGAAAAATTGTTCATGAAAATTGCTGAAGATTTACAGATGATTAGAAAGGAAATAAACGAATTTTTAGATCAGATGGAAGCCGAAAATATAAAGGATAAAATATAAAGCTCGCAAGCATGCAGCAAAATCTACACAAGAAAATGTAAACGCAGAAAGTTTACAAATCGAAGAGGAAATGCCAAGTACATTGTACAGACTAAAAGAACATAGTAACGAGGACAAACAACATTATAAGTTGTTTAATGAGATGACACAAATCGTACCTCAAGTTGCAAGACAATTAGATAATGAAAAGCAATTAGTGGAAGATAAGGGTGATATTACATTTGTCCCAAGCAAAGACATAGTACATCAAGTGAAAAATGATAAATATATAGGGACGATTTGTACACACAGAAGACTCTCACCCGATAGTACAATATGTGCCCAGTATGAAAGAACACTTCAAATGAAGCCCTCTTTTGATAAGGAACAATGCCATATCGTAGGAATGATATTAATTCCCAGTTCCTGAAGATAGACTGGCAAGGAAACATTGTACAAAGATTCGAGGATCAAGGACATGTAAGTCCTACAAGAATACAAGAGTTAAGAGGTGGTACGTTGCTGGTATGCTACAGGAACATACACAAAATTGTAAGATTGTCGAGGAGCTTTAAAGAATGTCCAATTGTAGGATTGGAGAAAGCAAACCTTCATTTTCTACAGGCTGTTACATACTGTAAAAGAGATCAAAAATTGTATATTAGTTGCTCTTCTGCACACGGCTTCTGTGCGGATGAAATCAAAATATTTAGTATTGAATTGTTTTAACTGCATAACATGTTATATTGTACAGTCTACGTACATATTCTGCATTCATTGAGATGAATTATAGATATTGTTTTATGTATATACATGTATAACATCTTTCTCATTATCTTTAGAACACTGCATGTACTTCATCATTTTATTTTAATGTCAGACATCATACAGTTTGAATATTTTGATTTACACTTCTATCATCGTGATTTTTTTTTTTGCATTTGTATTCTTCAATAGAAATAACTATAACAATGTCCTGTCAAAGATACAGATTTTGCTACAATTTTCAATTTTAAACAAAAGCATTATCTTGATATCTTAGCCGAATTATTTTGCAAGGTAACAAAACAAATTGATGTCATTTATGCCATTATATCTAATGCTTTCTTTCGATATAAATCGTAAATGTCTAGTTTGTTTGAATATGAAACAATTATATACCTTACCAAAAGAGAAAATGATCAAATAGAAAATTTCACTTGTAATTAAAAAAAAAATTCAAATTAAAAACGTCTGCTTTTTATGTTTTTTGTTTATCTTCTACCGCGATATGTAAGTACCTGTAATAGTTTGAAAATCAAATAAGAGCGCTAAAAACGCGTGCGGGGTTTGTAAGATGTCAAGCGAATTAGTTAGATCATACCGAAATGATCCTTTTTAAAAGTGTTAAAATATGGGTTACCAGGAATTCTCATTTCGAGAATAATTTTTCATTACACTGTACATAAAAATCACCACACAATCAGTGAATTGTTATGAATGAAAAATGCTTACGTAACTTATATTTCTTGCATATCAGACTGGCGTTTCCGTTAGTTTTACCCATGCCGGAAATTTCATCTGGCATGGGGGGTGCCAGATGAGTCGCGTGCTGTAAAATGGCACGCTTAGGATGACGTCATTTTACCGTTATGAATGAAGTTGCAATTTCATACGCTGTTGTAAGAAAGTAGTTACGGTTGTCACGATAAAAATTTCGATAACGAATTTAAAATAATTATAATGGAATATGGTAGAATATGCAAGAAAAACATCTGACATATGTTTGCGGTTCGGATCGGAATATCCGCCCCTCGGTCACCCGCCCATGGGCGGTAACTCGGCAAGCCTCGTTACCGCACAATGGGCGGGTCACCTCGGGACGGATATTCCGAACCACAACATATGACAGATATTATTAGTCTAGCTCACATTACAGTAACAGACGCCTTCCAAAAAATATTATTAGATCTAAACGAGATGTGTTTGAATCGTATTTTCTGAAATTGTTACAAATTCAATATTCCTTACATGTATTTTCTTTGTCTAAAATTTGCCACAATTGGCCACAAAATAATAGATAATCGCAATGATTTTTAAATGGTATTTGATATAGAATAGACACGCTATTGCTGTCTTAAATTATTGTTAATGAACTGTTATAATTAAACCATGATGCAAATGCGTGTTCGGCATGTAGTCATAACACAATTTATGAATCATGATCGAATATGCACTAACCAGTTCAAAAGACATAAATCAGGATAAACTGCCGACATTTGAGACTTAAAAATATATGATCAGTGAGTGTGCAAGTAGTGCTACATTTCAGAACGGACACAAATTTCTATTGAAAAACCTCTGGGCGTATTTAAAGTAAACCATTAGTATTTAATCAAACATAATGCTAAATAACAAGATCTCCATCAAACTTAATATCTAATAAATCAGTATTCACACAGTCAATAGATATTTAACCTTTCTTATTGTTCGTGAATAATATCTTTTTGGAAAGAATTCAGCAATGGTGGGTTTTTGTAAATTGTTCAACATGAAATTCAAGAAAATATGCGACGCATAGGTTCTTGAATATTTATTGAGATGTTTAACTATGCTCATTATGCTCATAAAGGTTTACATTTCTCATTCAAATTTTGAACAAAGACGTAATAACTTATTTGCTGCAATTCATACAACATATGTGGTCTGGCCTTATTTAGAACAGACAGACTAACGAAATAAAAACAAAGAAAAACAACAACAACAAAATATTGTTCATGTTGTCACGGCAAACGCTATGATAAGACGTTATTTGATTATATTATTTCACATTTATTGATTACATTAATTGTTGATCGCTGTTACATAGATTCTTTTTTGTGTAATTTGATTTGAACGTATAAATACATTACAAAAAAACTGAGTATATCTATAATAATTGCATTTAATATCCATTAAAATAACATACTTGTATCAATAACCGTATTTACGTTGAAAGATTTATTGTAAATATAAATGCATAGGGTTAACAAATTAAGTCCTTATTAACAGTTATCAACGCACAAATAAATCAGTTGAATTTTGGCGTATTTTTTAAACTTTCTTAAAGTCAAATTTACGATATCATATATCATATGTTCGCAGAAGGGTTTTCAACTTTTCTACTTTTCTAACACAGTAAACCTATAAAGAGCAATTATACATATACAAGTAGGTATAATTAATTTTGAAACTGTTACAAAAAGACAAATCGTTTATATATCTAACAGAAATGAAGTGGTATTTTATTTTTTATTTGACAGCAGAATCGATTATGATTATTGCCAAATCTAATATTTATGGAGTTATATATAAGAATATGATTTATCTCAATGTATGTAAAACTTTATTAAAACATTTGGTTCTACTATTTAATATATATATGATATAGATCTATAATATATTTTTATAAATTTTTGTTAAATTAGTTCCGTGGCAAGGAAGATAAAAGATGTACCACTTGAAAAAGCATGTAAATTAAGTTGTTTCCCCTGGGTTCTATATTTAGAACTTCCGCATTCCAAAGTTCATGTTTTGAACTGCAAAAGTAAGAAAGAAAGGTAAGAATATATACGTATATATATATTTTTTGTTGTAAAATATTTCAAAAGTAAGTGTGCACGTAGGAAAACGTATATTCGCATATGTACAAAAAAACATATTCAACTGCAAACACCGTAAGTCTATGATTTATCGATGAATTGATAACCAAAATGTAGGTCAACTATTCAACAATAAATTAGAATTAGGTTCACAGGAAAGTACTTAATAGGTAAGTAGGGATACGTTGTATCCTTTTCTAAGGTAAAAAAAACTGTTGGCCTACTATATGACAGGCGCTTTAGTGAAAAATTAAGAATTATCAAAATGAGAAAATGGTCCGTTTTGTTGGCACAGGCTAAAACGCAGACGCTTATGAAGCCAATATAGGATATAAAGTAAAATGCAGACAATATAGATATAGAGTGTCTTTCGCAAGTACTATATACTCTATATTGTCTTCATTTTACTATATGTTCAAGGATATTGTATGCCTGTCTGCTCTAAACGCTGATGTTTTGTTAAATATATTTAAGTTAATCGCCCCCAGAAAAGAAAGACACCCTGTGCCGATTAAGTAATACACAGGATATGTGGTCATACTTATCTTTATACAAGGTGCTATGTTAATCCCTAGAGGCCATAAGCAATTAAATCATGCAAATGTGAAGTCACACTTACCTTATCATAAACAACTATTATCAATAAGCGAGAAACGCAGACAATATAGATATAAAGTGAAAATGAATTTTGCAGACATGTATTTCTTTTATTAACAGTATAGAACATATAGTAAAATGCAGACGATATGGAGTATATAGTACTTACAAGAAGCGCAGACAATATAGATATATAGTGAAAGTGAATTTTGCAGACGTGTATTTCCTTTATTAACAGTATAGAACATGAAGTAAAATGCAGACAATTTAGAGTACATAGTAATTGCAAGAAACGCAAACAATATAGATATATAGTGATTTGATATGATAAACACGTTTTTTTAATGAAAATTATATTTATATTTTTACATCACAGTTCACATTGGGTTTTTTTTGTTTGTTTTTTTCATAATTGTAAATGCTTTATAATATTGTTTTATTAACTATTTGATGATTACTTTGTAGATGAACTAAGTATAAATATCAATTAAAAATATTTTCTGTTCTTAAAATTTATTTTGAAAACTATTGTCCCCATTTAAATTCTGCTCATTAAAGTTAACAAAATTTATATTAGACATTTTAACTTAAATTCATAAAAGTTAATTCAAATCAAGCATAGTATGTCTAAAAACCTTTCTATTTATTATTTATAATTGATATCATCTTAATAAAAAATCATAGAAAAATATTTCTATTTTTTAAATTCTAATTTATTATCAAATAATCATATCTACGAATCTCTAATATCTTAAAATTTTAATCTTAAAAATACAAATCTAAACAGCTTTCAAGTGTCTAATTTACAGCTTCTAGTTCTATATTGTCTGCGTTTTGTGAAAACACTATGTATCTATATTGTCTGCGTTTTACTATACATGTATATCCTATAGTGTCTGCAAGCGTCTGCGTTTTAGACCGACCCCGTTTTGTTAAAATTGAATTAACATTTAAAGCGAAAGCAACATACATGTATATCGAAAAAAAATGAAGAATGTGCATGGATTAATTTACGTTGTTAATTTAATTAACTATTGAAAGTTAAATTCAAAAGTTGAACTATTGAAAAGAATTTTCAAACAACTTTAATTAACAGCCTGATTGTTGACAAACATGCATTCTTTATTTTATAGATAGATTATTTAATCTTGGATAATCAAACGTGTTAAACAAATTTGTATTACCTGACTAAATTGTGCAGATGAAAACAAAATATCTAAAGGGTAGGATTGACAATCATGTGTTTGATTTTAGATAGATCTCATTGACAAGATGGTGAAGTTCACGCAAGAATTATACTTAATGTCTTACTTATTACCCATGATAATAATTTATCTTTCGTAAAATACATGTTTCTTTCCGATCTTTATTCCAGATCAAATATGGAAGTGTCAGGGAAATTAGCTGTTTCTTCAGAACAAGATTCCAATCTTTACTGCCTTCCATGCGACCGGGATGGTTTAAAAGAACCAGATTTTGGTTATTGCCAGGACTGCGAGGAATATCTTTGTGAGAGTTGTTATAAACACCACAGGAAACCAAAACCTTCCATGAACCACGTTCTGCTTGATAAAGACAGAATGCCACAACAATCCAAGTCCGGGAATATAAAAAATGATCAAATAACTGATTTTTGTACGAAACATAGCGACAAACTACTGGAATTCTTTTGTAACACGCATAATTCTGATGTATGTTACGTTTGTATGACTCTAGAACACAAGCACTGCAAAGTAGACTATATTCAAAATGTTTCAGGAAATTTGTCTGGTGAGCTTGAAAAATTGATTTACAGAATGGAGACACTGATTCAAAAGTGTAAATCTAATGTCAAAATTGCCGAGACTGCTACAACAAACATAGAACAAATGTACAAGGCCGTTGTTGAAGATATAAAAGTTTTTAGAAATGAAATAAACGAATGTCTGGATAAGATGGAAGCCGAAATTATGAGGGACGCTAAAACTCATGCATTGACAGCAAAGTGTAAACAAGAAAATGTTAAAACAGGTAGCTTACATATCGCAGAGGGAATGTCAAGTACAATGTCAATGCTCAAGTTTCTGGGCGACGAAAACAAGCAGAACAAGCTGTTTATTGAGATGAAACATGCTGGACCTCAAGTTTCAAGACTGTCAGATCAAGAGAAACAATTAGTTGAAGATAATAAAACGGATGGCGAAGTAAACTTTATCCGAAACGAAATGATGCTTAGTCAGTTCAAACATAACACATCTCTAGGAACGATTTCTACATACGGGAAACCTTGTGCAGAAAGTGCAGTATATGTCCATTATGAAAGAACAATTCAAGTGCAAAACTTCTCTGGTAACAGACAATGTAATATCTCTAGAATGGTACTGATTTCCTCAACAAATATGATCGTCGCTGACAAAAATAATAACAAAATTAAAATAATAAATATAGACGAAGGAACGCTGGTATCAGAGATAATCCTGTCTTCATCACCACGAGATGTTATAAAACTTCCACAAAATAAATTTGCTGTTGCATTATGTGATAATAAGTTTATCCAGATAATGTCTTACACTGACATAAGTTTGTCTTTAGATCGTCGTATAGATGTCGGAGAAATATGTTATTGTGTAGCTTATTGTCAGGACAAGTTAGTAGTAGGCTGTAATTATAATCCAGGAAAGCTGGTAATTCTGGATTTAGATGGAAATATCATACAGGTGTTTGATACTCCTGGATTGTTTGATGGACCCGAAAAGATTGTTTTCAACAGAGATAAGAAGTTCATGTATGTGTCTGATTACTTCTACTGTAAAGGTCACAGCAAGTGTATGAAACTGGACTGGCAAGGTAATGTTCTACAAAGATTTGAGGATCAAGGATATAAATGTCCTTACAAGAGTTGGAAGATGGTACATTGTTAGTTTGCTACACAGAGAGTAGCAATATTGTAAGATTGTCGAGCAGCTTAAAGAAATGTGAAATTGTAGGATTAGAGAACATTTGTAATCCACTGGCTGTATTATACAATGATAGAGATCATAATCTGTACATAAGTTGTTCATCTGAAGAAGAAAGATATTCTAGTAATATAATCAAGATATTTAGTGTAAAATGGACTTAGAGATATGTAACCGTTCAATTTATTTACTTGGAGTGTAATCTAGTATTTATAGAAGACAATTACCGTAATTATAAGAAACGGTAGTGTATCCATTTCATTTACTGTAAAAGAGAAAAATATTTCCAAAAGTATACTGACAGTGACATTTGTATAATATATTGTATCATATAATTTTGTCAATAAATATTTGAATTCACCAGAAATGATCTTTAAATTGATAAACAAAAGCCCAGCAGTTAATACATTTAAGACATCCTAGTTACTTTTGAGATAAAAATAAATCAGTAGAGTTTCTTTTTGCTGGTATTTATGTATATTATTGTATTAGGTGAAACGGAACATCTAGGAACAGCAAATAACGATAAGTGCAAGTGTGATAGAGAATAATGATAATTTGATCACTTTTTATGTTCGATATAGCATTGTATCCTCTTATCAATCAAGCTTTATTCTTTATAGATACGGGTATATAGTGCTTTATACAAGTGGATTATATCCATCAAATACAAATTATAAAACTTCAGCTTGTCTAAAATGTTAGTTCTACACACAGTCTTATAAGAAGTTAAACAAGAGCTGTCGGTAGGACAGCAACGCTCGACTATTTTTAGTGCTTGATAGTAAAAAAAAAGCTTGATACAGATACCTCCTCCTGTTTACAGGTTGGGGTAATGATGGTGAACAAGTGTGCAAAGTTTCAAAGCCATATGTCAATGGACTTTGAAAATATCTGAACTATTACAAAAACTTTAACGTAAATTCTAAGTTGAAAAAGGGGCATAATTCTGTCAAAATGCTTGATACAGTTACCTCCTCCTGTTCACAGGTTGGGGTAATGATGGTGAACAAGTGTGCAAAGTTTCAAAGCCATATGTCAATGGACTTTGAAAATATTTGAACTATTACAAAAACATTAACGTAAATTCTAAGTCGAAAAAGGGGCATAATTCTGTCAAAATGCTTGATACAGTTACCTCCTCCTGTTTACAGGTTGGGGTTATGATGGTGAACAAGTGTGCAAAGTTTCAAAGCCATATGTTAATGGACTTTGAAAATATTTGAACTATTACAAAAACTTTAACGTAAATTCTAAGTCGAAATAGGGGCATAATTCTGTCAAAATGCTTGATACAGTTACCTCCTTCTGTCTATAGGTTGGGGTAATGATGGTGAATAAGTGTGTAAAGTTTCAAAGCCATATGTCAATGGACTTTGAAAATATTAAAACTATTACAAAAACTTTAACACAAGTGGTTACGCCGACGCAGACGCCGACGCTGACGCTCGGGTGACTACAATAGCTCTACTTATTCTTATCGAATAGTCGAGCTAAAAATGTAAATGTAACACATATGGCACCCTTAAAGCAATTTCTTAAATGAAATAAGATTGAAAGGTCATCTTATCATCACCTAATTGTAGGGTCTTTATGCAAATTTTTTCCGCAAACATTTTGTGGTTAGTCTTACTTTGAACATCAACAACATGTACTTTTGATGACAAACATATTAATCAGACATAAAGGTTTGAAAACCAAGCGAGATATTTGATTGAAAGAACTATGATCCTCATATTTTGAAATTTTGAGAGAAATAAGAGAAACAATCGTTTGTTTTTTCCCAAACATTCATGTTTGCTTTTCCCTATTTGAATGTTCGGTGGTTTTCGAATATTAGAATAAAATTCCAGGCCCTACTTAAAATGTCATTTGTTTGATAGGGTTTTTACGAAACACCGACACAGTTTAGGTCATATGGCGACGTTCCAGCTTTACTGGTGGAGGAAGCCCTCGGGTGCCCTTCAGTTCATTATTTCAGGCAAGAACGGGCACCTGAGTAGAACCACAGACGTTCCGTAAGTTAGCTGGATAGCTTCCTAATATGAAAGAATCCAAATTGTCCAAGTTTAATCTACTTATCTGTCTGAACTTTTTATAAAACTCCAGGTTTACATCCTGTATTTCACTCCATTTTAACTTCTGCTATATATGGTTGAACACTTTTTCAGCAAAACACAATATATAACTGCTGTAACTTGTAATGTAACTCATTTGGCAGCAATCAATTGAACCAATGTCAGCTTCAAATATATATGAATGTTTTAGATATATTTCGTAGATTAAAATATTGCTGTAAAATCAAACAAGGGATCATGCATGGTGTTCTTAGGATATACTAAATTTAAAATATGAGGAAATAAACAAAACAAAGCCAGTTTAGTACATTATAGTATATTTGATAATTTACAGAAATTCAAGTCGAAATATCTCTCCCTGTAAAACCGTGCAAAATGTAAAGAATATTATGATTAAGCAATAATGTTTTTGGTAGAGGTTAAAATCTATTAATCTTAATCTTAAATCTCCAGTGTCCATCAACGCATTATTGCAGACAAAATCGGACAACACAGTAGAGCCATTAACCATGAAGGCTTCCATTAGCTTGATAGATAGGTTCGCGACATAAAAGAATCCAATTTCCCTAACTTACATCGTACAGGCTTGAATGCCAGTGGTTTACAGTGCACCACAGAGCAAGCTTTCGTGTAAATCAAGGTTAACTTGAGAGAAAGATTTGCTTAACTATAATTTACTGCTCTTCAAAGATAATTACATTTCTTGTTGTTAAATATGTATGCCATTTGCTGTTTACAAACATAGTTCATACACAAACAACTTATAACAATACATGGCTAATTAATCAATATAATAAATATGTGTATAAATATATGTATAAGAAATGTGTAACAAGAAAAACATTACGATATTTTTAAATATAAAATCATGATAACAAAAGTGACAATTTATAACAGACTAAAATCTAATGATTACAAAAAGACAGTGTCAATGCAATACGAATGATAATACATTGGGAAATAAGTTTAAACTGATTAAATAGATTTAACAAATATGAAACAGTCATTTCAAAAATTAATAAGTATACCTATCAGCCTAATACATGCATTCAAAAGAAAAAATGTGTTTCCTACTGAGAAGTTATAAACAGAACTATAACACAACACATCAATAGTCACAAAATATATCTGCTTAATATTGGTTCAGATAAATCAATCTAATTCTGATCATATCTTTATAGTTTTTTTAAACAAAATTTATGCAAAAAATATAAAATAAATAATATAATAATATTGCTTCTATAGATTTTTAGTTACAGTTAATCAATCTCATTACTTAAACATCTTTTAGTAAAGTATGTTTTTCAAAGTTAATATAAAAATAACTATAAGAATTTGAAGTGTATTTTTGCATACATTTTCTCATTTCATTCACATCTTTAAAAATTTGTTTTCATAACATTAATTTTATGAAAAATATAGAATTTTAGTTTTTAAGTTATTTTAAGTGTGTTTTATTGACATAAATTTTAAATACATAGAGGACATTCGTTTAGTTCAGTGTAAGATCGGATTAATATATTTCACTGAGTGAGCCCCAAAAGGTATATATCACCAAAAAGTGAAATATGAACTTTTGGTGTTGACGAGTTGAAATAAATTTCACTTAACAAATTGTGCTTTTATTGTATGCAAAGAAACGTTTAAAAAGACATTTAACCTATTACTATCAATGAATATAATTTAGTTTGTTCCAGTTCTGTGCATGCTAGTATTTCACTGAAACAACATAAGGGGCTTAAATTCAAAACAGTGAAACTATCAGTTTTATATTTCATTGATATATTTCTATAAACCACCGGAAGCATGTAATAAAACTTTTTAAGTCATATGATATATAATAAGGAATACATAAGGCCAAGATTTTCTAAAATGAATTCAACTATCAAAAACTTTCAGATAAATTGAGGTCCAAATGAGAAAGCTATAATAAGAATGATAATTGTTTAATAGGCAGAATTTACTAAACATATTAAAATTGTAAATTCACTTAAAACCAACCTGGACAAAAACATATTATTGCACAATAAACACATTTAGGTATGTAAAAACCAACATTTATATATATAATTAAGTTATATACAAAACGTGAATGATACAATGTTGCCTATATAAATTATCTATGAATAACAAGTCAGGTTAATATATTGTGTATAAAAACAAACATATTATACAAGTATATAGAAATAACACACAATGTAGAGTCATCCAATCAGAAAAGCACTATCAGATAATTTATCTTTGTACTTATCATGAAATAAAAATTGATCATTGTATCAAAAGATGGCAGATTTACACTGTAATAATTGAACTGTCTTAAATAAAGTTTGAAACAAAAAGGTATAGTAAATAGAGGATATTAAATGAGTGAAGGTTTAATACTCAAAATTTATTGAACAAGTTAAATAAAGTTAGTAATGAAGCCACATGAATATAATATTCTTTTTATCACATATCTAAAACAGAAGTGTTTACAGTTAAAATGAATCAATTTTTACATTGACGTGCTCATAGTTTGCAAATGACATAACGTCAAAATTTTAATTGTTAATCTTAAAGGAAGACAACAGTAAAAATAACACAAAAAATAACTAAATATTTATAAAGATTTATCATGAATTTATAAAAAGTTAAGCACCATTGTTGCGACCCTAAGTTTTACCATTGTGCAAATATATGATGATAAACAGGAGAAGTAAAAAAAATATCAGGAATGAAATAGAATGTCTCAGCAGCAGGGTAAAATTTTTTTATACTTTTACTTGCAGTCTATTATAATTTAATATATAATGTGCATATCTTTTAAAAAAAATTAAACATATATATCTAAATATCATCTTTTGGTGTAACTGTCTTGATATTTTATGATATAGTGAAATTTCTAAA